TGAAGATGGAGGCCCAGGTCGCATGTCGCGATCGGAGCATCCTGAGAGTGTTTCCCTTCCCGCTGGACCGGGCTTAGCAGCCGAGAGGGCCGTGCTGGGTTTTGGTTGGAGGGAGCTGCTGACAGACTCCCAGTGTCAACATCGGTTTGCAGAGCATTGGGGGTCGCCTATGTCGGATGAACCAACATTGGTTGAAAGGGAGGCAGAGCATGAAGACCCCTCCCAAGTCCATGGTGGTGACTCATGTCGAGAGAACCGCCAGGAGTGGACAGAAGATGGCTTGGACTCGAGCGTGCGACTGGCTTTCGAACCGTGCCGCATTGAACTTGAGCAGTGTTGCCAGAAAAAAGGACTTGTTTTTGCGGAGCTGGGTGAGGTGTTGTCCCGTGCATTGGCAGTGGTTGAAGATAAGACAGAGCGTTGCAGCCAGCCCAAGGGGGATTTGGGACTCCCCGGACCATCACAACCCAGCACAGATGCATTGATTCGTGCATTGAATTCACTTTATGGGACTAAGACAAAAGTCAGGACAAAAGAGGACAACATTAGGAGACAGCTGACCGAACGTTTGCATAGTGTGGTGTCGAAATCTAATCTGTTGGGTGAGGCGTTGCCCCAGTTAGACTTTCATCGGCTTTTCCAAACCAAGACCGTGGATTACTCTGGTGAAGAGGTGCAAGTAGCCCGGTCTTTCCAATGGAAAATGGTGGAGGCAGCAATGCCTGATGCCGTAGGGTCACTAGAGCTGGACGGACTCCGGCAGTCATGGTGGAGCAGAGCCACTGGGCCGAGGTCTGCGCGGGGCTGTTGAGGAAAGGGGTTTGTCGGTTGATGCATGTATCTGACCTACATCATGTTGATGGACGACCTTTGTTGAACGGCTTGTTCGCAGTAAGCAAACACGAAACAGCTGTAGACAGTGAGGGCAAGTCGTTCGATGTGTGTAGACTCATCATGAATCTCGCCCCGACCAACAGTTGTTGCAGAAGTTTGGTGGGAGATACATCCACACTGCCCACGGTAGTTGGTATGTCCTCAGTCATTCTAGAGGATAGCCAGCTGCTTATCACGTCATCCGAAGATATCCGTTGTTTCTTTTACTTGTTTCGTACCCCTTCTTCGTGGTGGAAGTACATGGGCTTCGCAAGGGAGGTGCCGGTTGAGGCCCTCCCAGAGGGTTTTGTGGGAAAGGGGTGGCATTTGGTCACCCAAGTGTTGCCGATGGGGTTCATCAATTCCGTGGCAATAGCTCAGCACGTGCACCGGCGCGTGATTGGTCAAGCGCTTCGGAATGAGAGGACCTTGGCAGGCAGGCATCAAGAGCTACGTCGTGACCGAGCCGCCTCCACATCTGATCACCTTTACCGGGTCTACTTGGACAACTACGACGAGTTGCGTAAGGTTGACAGGAGAATGGCCGAGACGTTGACAGGAACGCCCTCAGCTTGGACCTTGGCAGTGCGGCAAACCTATGAGGACTTGGGATTGCCTCGGCACTCGAAGAAGGCAGTAACCCAGGAGTTGAAGGCTGAGGTGCAAGGCGCCTGGTTGGACGGTGAAGCAGGGACCGCGACACCCAAGGGTGAGAAGGTGGCAAAGTATGTGCGGCTTGCCTCTAAGTTGCTGACACGAGGCCGTGCATCGCAGAAGGAGCTACAGATTGTTGGAGGAGGCTTTGTGTACATTGCCATGTTCCGGCGCCCACTACTGGCAGGGTTGAACGCATTGTGGCGTCGGATAGTTGAGCTTGGAGAGGTCTCCCATCGAAAAAGGGAGGCGTTGGGTAGCACAGTGGAGCTTGAGTTGCTTCGGTTCGTTGCCTTGACTCCCTTGGCCTTCATGGATTTCCGCACCGGGATTTCGGACGAGGTCACGGCCAGTGATACGTCAACGAGTGGAGGTGGTTTGTGCGTGAGTAAGGAATTGTCACCCTATGGCCAAGCTGCTCCTCAGGCGCACTGTAGGGGAGACATCCTCTCCCAAGAGGACGTAGAGCCGATCTTGGTTGTCTCCTTGTTCGATGGCATTGGTGCGCTCAGGGTAGCAGTGGATGCCTTGAGGGTGCCGGTTGCAGGTTATATCTCGGCCGAGATCTCCGAAGATGCACGACGGGTCGTTGAAAGCTGGTTCCCTGAGGTTAAGCGCATCACGGACGTGGCGCTTATCGACGAGCATGAGGTCAGTAGCTGGAGCTTGTTGTTCCCCAGTGTGTGCGCAGTCGTCCTGGGTGCCGGACCCCCATGTCAGGGAGTCTCCGGTTTAAACTCAGACCGGAAGGGTGCGTTGAGAGATGCTAGATCTTGCTTGTTTGCTCACGTGCCCAGAGTCGAGCAGTTGCTTCGTAGGTTCTTTCGTTGGTGTCCCATCTTTCGCATTGCTGAGAATGTGGCCTCGATGGATGCTCAGGATTGCGGTGTGATGAATGAGGCTTATGAAGGCGCCCCCTGGCTGGTGGACGCTGGCTCGTAGGCCCCGTCTCTATTGGCTTACCTGGGAACCTGTTGAGGTGGAAGGTGCCCGTAAGATCACAGACGAGAGGCATAGGTTACCCTTGGCAGGAAGGCTCCAGCTTGAGGCTACCATTGATGAGAAGGATTTCCTTGAGCCAGGTTGGCGGCGGTGTGTTGCGCATCACGTGTTGCCTACCTTTACGACGTCGAGGCCCTCTCCCACGCCAGGACGCAAGCCTGCTGGCCTTGAGTTGTGTACCGCGGTCGAGTTGACAAGGTGGAAGGAAGATCAACACCGCTTCCCTCCGTATCAATACAAGACCGTGAACTGTGTCACCAACGGAGTCCAGGTGCGAGTGCCCAACGCTAGGGAGCGAGAGTGCATCTTAGGTTTCCCACTGGAGTATACAGCCAAATGTTACCAAGAGTCAGCAGCATTCTTCAGCGTGGAATGATTGTCGCTTGACCTTGCTTGGCAACACGTGGTCGGTACCGGTGGTTTGCTACCTGCTTCATTCCCTCTTTTGCATTTTGGGTCTGAACACACCGCTGACTATGCAGGAGATCCTGCGACGTTTGACACCCGGAGAAGAGGATTCCCTCCCCAGCTTGCTTCTTAGACCACCGTTGAGACGCACAACACAGCAAGGAGGACCAAATGTCGGGCTTGTCAGGCGTTTGCTAGGGCAGGTCTCTGTGAAGGGTGAAGATTTGTTGCTTCAGATGGGCAGTGACATTCCTGCCCGATACCATCGACTCCGAGCTTCTATTCCAGGCAAACTCTGGAGATGGAAAGAGGTCGCCGGCTGGTAGTGGACAGGCTCCCCAGAGCACATCAATGTCCTTGAGCTGCGAGCTGTGAAGACTGCGCTGTCGTGGCGTATCCGGGAGCTCAAAGAGCAGCGAACTCGATTCCTGCACCTTGTTGATTCATTGGTTGTACTACACGCACTCAGTCGAGGACGGTCCAGTTCGCGAAAGTTGCGCAGGACGCTTGCCAAGATCGCCGCCATGCTGTTGGCCAGTGGCCTTCAAGGTACCTGGGGGTACATAGACACTCACCAAAACCCGGCCGACAAGCCGTCGCGCCGGCCTTTGCATCGCAAATGGGTAAGAAAACGTCTAAAGTAGTTGGGGGCCGAAGCCAGCAGCAGAGAAAGGCGGTTAGAAAGACACTTGGCAAGTTGAAAGATCTTACAGTACAACCTCGCACACGTCAGCGATATGAAGCTAGTCTGCAGCAGTTCTTCGCTTGGCTGGAACGGGAGGGTTTGGTTCTCCCAAAGCGTGTTGCCCAAATGGACAACCTTGTGTCCGACTACCTGGAGTTTTTGTGGGCGGAAGGCCATGGCAAATCTGAGGCAAATAATGCCCTTGCAGCGCTTCAGGACTTTGACCCCAACCTGTCGGAAGCTGCCAGGTAGCTGGCGCCTGTTGAAGGCCTGGTCCACAGCGGAGATACCCAACAGAGCTCCGCCAATGACTCTGACTGTACTGGATGCGCTTTGCGGTTGGAGTGTTATGCAAGGGAAACCGGAGTTTGGCCTCAGTTTGCGCTTAGCCTTTTTCGGGCTGTTGCGCACGGGTGAACTTTTAAACCTGACCTCCAATGATATCTACATCACCAGCCCCAAAGGTCCAGCGGTCATATCCCTGGGACTCACGAAGTCCGGAGCCCGGCAAGGGGCCAGTGAAAGTGTCACCATCCATGATACTTCTGTACTACCCTCTTTGTATAGTTGGAAACGTCGAAGTACGTCGAATGCCTTTTAGACTTCAAAGCAACATGCGTGGCGAAAACTTTTCAATCAGGCGGTGGAGAGACTCAATCTCACAGAGTTGGGGTTGAGGCCGTACTCGCTGCGGCGCGACGTTTTTCTTCCAACACCACGGAAGTTTCGATAAATTGCTGCTCCAAGGCCGGTGGGCCGCAGCACGTACCGCGCGAATATACTTGAACGAAGGTCTTGCGCAGTTGTCCGAGCTTAAGGTCCCTAATTCGCGTTTGCGGGCGTACTGTTCTTTCTACTCTCAAAACCCGATACTTGAGCCTGGGCCCCAAAGGGGTCCCAGGTCAGGGGGACGTGGAAGAGTCAACAAAACACCGCCGTTTTTTCTTGCATGAAGGGGTTGTGGGAGAGAACCCCCAACAAAGACT